GCCACTTTCTTGCTTCCGAAGATGTTGATCCTTCGTGAGGCAAAGGCTGCAGGGTTCTGTAAAGGCATCTAGATCGTCATCAGGTTCCATGACACCATTGGGGTGGTCAGCTTCGTGGGGCATTGCGTGGAGGAGGGCTCGTCCCCAAACAGGACTACCTGGGTATAGCGTCAAAATCCACCGTCGATGCAACCCATGTCCCCACACCAACTCGAAACTCGGATAATTTTCGTAAAGTCGGGGCCCGACACCACTTGAACACGATATCATGGCAAGATTACTTTCCCTTCATACTTCATCGGCTCGAGCCGGCTCGGGTGAAGGAGCGGCTACGGGAGAAGAAGTAGCAGCGCGTTGGAACTGCAGCGCACCGGTGCAATAAAACACTTAACTTGGCGATTGACATAAAACTGTGTACTTTGGTGCAAAGCGCTCGTTCCCACTTCAAACTTCTTGTGCATAACTTTCATTTGTAGAGGGCACGAACAGTAACTCCAATGGCTGTACCCGACGTTGCCAACCTCCAAGCTCGATACGCGCAGGAACGCGACAAGCGACTGCGAGCCGATGGTTTCCAGCAGTACACGACTCTACACAGCGAAGCAGAAGCCCCGCTCGCAGATGACCCATGGGTTGACAAAGGGCAGCAACGGGACGCGGGTCCACTCAAGGACGGCGACAACATCCAGTTCCTCATCATCGGTGCCGGCCACGCAGGTCTGCTAGCTGCAGGACGATTGGTAGAAGCGGGCTTCTCGGCGAAGGGCATCTACCTGGTAGACGTCGCGGGGGGCTTTGGTGGGACATGGTACTGGAACCGATACCCAGGTTTACAATGCGATGTAGAGAGCTACATCTACATGCCTTTCCTCGAGGAAACAGGCTACAAGCCCAAACACAAGTACGCGTCAGGCGACGAGATCCGTCAACACTGCGAACGTGTCGCATCGCACTTTGGACTGCGTGGACAGTTCTCAACACGGGTGCTCGGCGCGACATGGGACGAAACGAAGCGGCGCTGGGTGGTCCGCATGCGTAGGGAGCACGGCAATGGCGAGGAGATGACCATCTTGACGCAGTTTGTCGTTCCAGCTAGCACCATATTTACGGAGCCCAGGATGCCTAAGCTCGACGGCTTCGAGGAGTTGCGCGCCAACATTCCCGTCTTCCACACCGCGCGATGGGACTTCAGCTGCACTGGTGGCTCGGCGACCGACCCTACGCTTTCGAAACTACAAGGCAAGCGCGTCGGCGTCATTGGCACGGGTGCGACGGCGGTGCAAGTGATACCACAGGTAGCGAAATGGGCCGGCCACACATATGCCTTCCAGCGCACACCATCGTACTGTGTACCCCGCCGCCAACAGACCACGGAAGAGAGCACATGGGCACAAAACGTGGCAACGGGACCTGGCTGGCAACGCGCTCGCCGGCTCAACTTCGACACCTTCTTCGATGGTGAGAAGCATTCAGAGAACCACCCAGACCTTGTCGCCGACGGCTGGACACAGTATGCGCGCGGTTTTGCTGGCTTCATTGGAGGGCCACGGTTCGTCACGCCTCAGAATGTAGAAGAGCACGCACGCTCGCTCTACGAGATGGATGTGCCACTGGCAGAACAGGCACGAGAGCATGTGCGAAACAGCGTCACGAAGGACCAAGCCACGGCAGAGCGGCTACAGCCGTGGTATCCCATGTGGTGCAAACGACCAACCTTCCAGGATGGGTATTTCGCCGCGTTCAACCAGCCCAACGTCACGCTTGTGGACACAGATGGTAAAGGCGTGGAGCGGTGCACACCACGAGGCCTCGTCGCCAATGGAGTCGAGTATGAGCTGGACGTGCTCATTCTTGCCACAGGATTCCTGCTGGCGACCGGTGCGAACGCAGCCCCTGCCGAACTCTTCGGCATACCCATTGTAGGCCGTAACGGCCGCCGTCTCAAAGACAAATATGGCTCTGCCGACTTTGCGACGATACACGGCATCGCTACAAACGGCTTCCCCAATTTGCTGTATCCCGGTCTCGGTGGTGGGCCAGGCTCGCCCAACCTCACCGCGGTCTTCGACCTCGAGTCCACACATATCGCCAGTATATTGAAGGAGGCTGCGCGAAAGGCTTCGGATCCTACTCAGATGGTCATCGAGCCAACTAAGCAGGCAGAGGATGCGTGGACGGACGACGTTGAGAGGCGGGCGCTGTGGTACTCTGTCGTGCTAGCCTGTACGCCGGGCTACTTCAATCATGAAGGCGCCACGATGCGCATGGCTGGTGGGGACCCCGAGCATCGGCGGCAGGCGATGCGGAGGGTGCTTCATGGAGGAGGGATGGCCATGTACGAGCAGATGATTCGCGAATACGATGCGAAGGGCGACATTGAGGGCTTCGAGGTATCGTGATGTGGCATTATCGCGGCATTGTAGATAGGAACTGTAGCTTGTTAGTATCTTGTTTCCTGTGGCTCTCAATGTGTGCGTGTGGTCAGTACGATCGCGAGAGACAAGATCAGTACATACGCAGACCGGCATATTCGTAAAGCCCGTGCTTCTCCTTGACATCACCTCAGATGAGCCATGGCAAAGCGTGCGTCGTTCAGTGCGTTTTGCTGCAGTGTCAACAGGGGCGAGTAGCTATTGATAACCTTGGAAGATACCTAGGTAGGAGTGGGTTGAGGGAAAGCGACTACTCATGACTTCTTGGCAGGGCGAACATGCCACTAACCTCGGCTCGCGTTGACACTGGTCAAGTCGGAAGCATCGACAGGTAGCCGGTAACCACAACAAAATCTGATAGACGTAATACCTTGACCTTCAGTTTTCCATTGGCCCGCGATTGATGCCAATGGTGAGTGGAGCGTGGCGTGGCATTGCCACAGCCTGAAAATCCATGTCGCCTTTGCTTGTACGGGGGCAGCTGAGGAATACCATTTCGACAGATCGTCTGGTGAGCTTCGTGTTCTGATACGATGACTTCCGAGCGCAGACGCATTACGCGTACGCACGTCTGGATGTGCCTTCCTGAAGTAGGACTCCATTGGGCAACACCTGGTCATACACACTCAGCTCACTTCATCCAGCCTTCGAATTCAGAACGGTGTTGACTTGGTGTGTGGGCAACTACGAGAGCGAAGAGTTGATGTGGTATTCAGTTGGTCTGGAAAATGGGCTGCTGGACTTGAGCTATACCCACAGCGATAATTTACTGGGAGCGGTCAATGCGTACATGCTATCGACCCAGCACGTGGCTCCTGTTGTACTTGTAAGATAACTAATACCAGCCAATAACCATTGAAAGACGTGGATAGAGGCTTCCCAGATATCGTATAGAAATTTTGCAGCTGCAAGTCCCCGCTGAAGGTGCGTTGCCTAGGCCGGCTTCATTGGATAGCTGCAATACCTGGTATCCGATACGTCCTCCTGTCCAAGACTTCATCGTAATATCCTCCGGACGCGGCTTGTGCTATCAAACATGCAAGCCGAACGTGGTTGTATCGAACCTTGATACGTTGTTGGAGTCTGACCGCTAAGCCACCGGCCGCGGTCTTTTGTGAGAGCATCATTTCCCCAGGTTTCAAACCATACCGATCCTGAGACGGAACGCATGATTGAACCTCAAACGACGACAAGCCTAGGCTTTTGAGTAGCAATGGCAAGGCGTACCTCTCATAGCTACCACGTTCATCCGCTTGCTGGTGTCGAGGTCGTTATCTGTGTGGGTAGGCAAAACTTTCGGGCGCACGACACCGCTGCGAAGGAAGGACGTCAACATGCAAAAAGCATTGCAGTTGGCTCGAGACGACGTGCCGCTAATCCATCTGATGGTGTGATAGACCCTGGAAGCATCGATAGCTCCTTCCTTGCCCCTGGACAACGGTAAGTGCACTAGCTCGACACCGATTAGTGGCGGATGTGCTCCAACTTCCCCGGTAGCGGATCAGACGTTCTGCTTCTGCTGGACTGCGGCTGCTTTCGACTTCGACTTCATGCCTCTTTCCTCGATACTCGTACGTCTCCGCCAACATCACCGAAAAACACGCGCCGATACGGAGCCATCGTAGAGCAAGGTGTTCATTATGCCTGCTCATTTGACACATCGACGTTTGCGACAACCTATATGCAGCACCGGCCGCAGCCTTCTATCCTATGCCGATCGTCTTAACCGTCATCCTATCATAGCATCTTGAACCCGCGCAGACGTATCCCATAACCTTAACGCCTAGAAGACAAAAACGTCGCGTCGCCGAGCCTCATCCGATCTCGCCGTTTTCAACCGTTGCGTACATCGTCCGTCCATCACACCATTGCTGAACCACCGAACCCCGTTGGCGTCAAGAGACCGCGCCTCGCATGGCTTACAAACGAAGCATCAATAAAACAAAAACGTTAAGAGCTATTTTTGGGGGACATTTTGGCGTAAACACGCTTGGGTTTCCACAGGCGGTCCCCAATGGAATACATACACTGCCAAGATGAGGAAAACGGGAAAAATATGTCGAGAACAAGACCAACAACAAAGGGAAGAGACGGAAGGGTGTATAAATGAATGTGAGCGATACGCAATACGAACAGACAGTCTGTCTGGGGACACGACATGATGCAGGCAAGACTTCGGGCTTGGTGTCATCGGCAGGTGTTCCCATCTAGGTATCGGACAGCACTCGAATCGCCCAACGTTCGCTGGTCGAGCAACCAAATTATAGGCCGCGCGGGAGAAGTTCTGGATGCCGGCGTCGGTAATGCTTGAGCCTAGCGTCGGCCCTCTTGAAGACCTTGTCGCAATAGTTGGCCTCGCAAGCCCATTCCCTCGGTTGGCCAAGATGTTTCTGTCTTCGGTGGCGCCCATAGTTGCCCAATCGGTAGACTCCGGTAAATGTCGCAGAGCAATGGGGGCATGGAAGCGGATCCGATGTCGCAGAACCTGCAGGAGAAGACGGTCTTGAGCTTGAAGCGTCGGTATCCGGGACATGGAGACGATTGCCGCTGGATTTTGACCTAACCCGATTAGCACTTATCAACGGCGCCAATAGCACATGAAGACTTACTCCCGACGAGAAGTGCCATGGACTCCAGTCCGATCTGGGATAGAGTATGCGCGTTGAACTCCGACTGTGTGGCCTGTAGGTGGTATAAAGAAGCCTTGCCCCTGCCCATGGTAGTTGAGTTGGGCCGACGCATACCTCGAATGATCTGATGGGTTACTAGGCAGAGGATGAGTCGGGCGCATAGTGGCTACGCTGGACTCTCCCCAATCCGGATCCTCGGCATCCCCGGATGAGTCCGCAGACGAAGAGACCAGATTCTCGGTGTCGCTACTATGATGGCTGGCAGAGCTAGTTTGGGATGCCCCCACCAGGTTAGCCCAAGAAGTTAGCTGCTCGACCGGGGGTCTAGAGTATTCGTTGTAATGGTTTTCCGAAGACCATGGGGCCTCTTCTCTGTATTCGACTTGATCTCCAGACACAGGCACAGCATCGAATTCCATTCCTAGGGGTCCAGGATCGAAGCCGACGTTGAAGTCGATATCGAAGTCGACAGCCATATGAAAGTCGACAGACGGTTCAATCGCGGGACTGTTCTGCTGTTGAGACTTCTGCGTATAGTAACCGTGGAGTTCATAGCCGGGCGTCGGCGTGTACGCAGTTGGATCCTCGATGGGCTGTAGCATACTGTACTGGTGCTGTCCATTGTACGTCGTCAGGTCGTGCTGTGCGCCATCACCCGAGTCGTTACCAAAGGTAGGCATGGCCAGACGAGGGTTATATGAGTACGATGCCTGTCCAGAATCATCATGCGTATCACCGTTTACGAGGCTTTCTTGGCTGTCGCGCTGTTCGGGTCCGTACCCTTGGCGTCTTGCGTGATGGTCCCTGCTATCAACGTCAGCTTTGTCATGTGTGGCATACTTAGGGCTTTCATACCGCTCGTGGTGTATACCATGGAAGCCGAATTGAGGCCCCTCTTCATCGCTGTCGTTCGATGACGGGTGACACGGGTCGTACGGGTCTTCCCAGGAACCTGAGCCGCTCATCTTGGCAAGCAAGATGTCGACTTGCGGGAGTTATGTTACGCCTTTCCTATCGTCGCCACCTACTGCTCCTAGTGCTATCGCGCCGACGCGTACTTGGAAGTGGAGGATGCTGTTGATGGCGGTCGGGGTATGGGTCTTGGGAACTGGATCAGGCGTCTTACTGGATGCTGGCAGGACAGAAGCTAAAAAAACAGAATTACGTTCGATGTTGGATGAGATGCATGCAAGAGACTTTGATGGGTGGTAATAGGAGATGGTTAGGATATGCAAAGGACGCTGTGAGGTGTCCAGGTACGGTGGTTAGCGGGCGGGCCGGGGTATACCTAGCCACGCTGGGCAGAGGTCCTCCGATTTTCGATCGCAAGGACGACGTTTTCGACTGCAAGTTCGGGCTTCGATAATGCCAGAAATGACGTGGAGCGCAGAGGGATGGTATTCTCGTTGGGATGTACAAGGCGAGGCTTTACCAGGGCATGCGTCTATCCGGGGATGCGATGATGCACGCCCTCAAGAACGACCATGAACGTGGCGACGCGAAGCAAAATCATGAGAGTCCCCCGGGCATTTTATCTGAAACACACTTGGAGGAACTCCTAGTGTGTGCCCTTCGGTAACGCGATTATCGCGATCCTATACCACTCCTATACGGCGCCGCTGTGGTGATGAGGAGGCCCTCATCCCGAGCGATCTTGGACACAGGTCTCATGCCGCGACGGTATCATTATACCTCATGCTCCAACGATTTGTACGTGTTTGAGCTGTTTGTTTGCCGATAGGAGGACGTCGTGCGGATGGCGGTGTGGAACGTCGGTTATGGTTGGCCGTATCCGGACTTGCTGTCATTGGCGGCTCCGATGGGTAGGGTTTTCAGCAGCAGCTAGCTCGAACATGTCGCACGTCTTCATCAGGAACGACAGGCAGCTTCTGGCATTTCCAAGGATCAGGGGCACCTGCAGTGACCCACCAGCAACAGCAGTACGGTGCGGTATAGCGAAGTCATTCTGTCTGGCTTGATCATCCCATGGTTGTGTTCAGAAGGGCACTGGGTGCGCTGAGCCACAACAACCCGAGCCGTGGTGGAGCCACTTGTCGAGTTCCCACGTCGTCATTGGAGCGGCGCCCGGTAGGGCATGGCGGAAGGTCGCGGCGGATAGCAGGGCGGACCCTAGGGCAGACTGAGCACGACTATTGTGGTTGGAAGTAGTGTGACGCTATCTGTCCATGTTGCTTTGCGTAGACGTCTGGTCGTACCGAGGGGGTGAGTTCTGCCTAGGACGACAGTACAGACTGATTCGGGAATGGTATCGAAGGCATGTGTCCAAAGACTCGGTGCGCCACAGTCATCCGGCCAGGACTAGGAACGCGTTAAAATAGAGAAAATGGCATCAATCTTTAGGCTATGGAAGAGATGCGCTGCCTTTATCAATCATCCCCTCGACAGCCACCCACCCACACACCTCAATCCAAAGGGATGTCGGTAAACGCCCCCACCGAATGTCCTTCGACAAGGGAGCATCTACCGTGCGCCGAAGGTGGGCACATGGGGGCCAGCCGCATGTGAATGAACAGGCGGGACGCTGCACAGTGGCGGCTTGTTCTAGGGGTACCCGTGAACTGTAGTAGCAGGCAGGCAAAAGACAGTCTTGGACGTATCCCCTCATTGAAAGCTCATAGATCAAACGGTGCTGAACCACAATCCGGTTCTCTTCAGCTTCCACCGAGGACTGACAATTGTCTTGCGCGCTCTTACTGGACGAAAAACATGCCCAGCCTCGATACGTTTTGCAACCTCTACACTTTCGGCGCGTACTAAGGCCACTTTGTATGCTCTCGCGCGTAGCTGGCGCCGTTCATGCATATGTAGAGTGCTTATATCCAGCCAATATATGGGTACAGTTCGAGCCACTGTGCTTATACCTGCTCAGCGCAGCCCTCACGCCGAAGCATTGCCCACCGATCAAGCAAATAAACTGTGGCTGGGCCACAGGCTGGAGACGCGGTGGATTCTAGCACAGTCTTACCATCGGATGATCTCACAACTCTAGCTAGCCGGGATGGCAGCGCCTATCGAGATATGTGTAAACGTACTGCTTGCAGACCCTGAGCGCAAGAATACATCCGTCGGTCGAAGCCACCTACGCGAAAGAGCGTGGGAGCCACCGAAGCCATCGGTCGATACGAACACCTGTTCCAACATTGGTTTAGGGGTCTCGCTCTTCTCAGCTAGCTCTAGCGAACACCAATCAACACAACCAACAGTTAGTCAAAGTGCGGGCCGCATTCTTGATGTATGCCGCGACTATGCCGCAATCTAAGTAGACAGAGGAAAGAAGAGGTATGGCTCGAGACCAAAAAAGGCTTTGCGCTGCATCGAGATAGCCCTGGAGCGGATGAGCGGCTAGATGCCCAGGTGAGGCGTAGTTCTAGCCCCACTCATGCACGCCTATCTCTCGACACCATCATCCTTCCAAAGGATGGAGCCGATGCGTAAGAAGGGTGTCGTCTGAATTACGTATCCGTCACTAGGTGATGCTGTTTGCAAATTTTTGCGATGTTGGTACATGCACGGCTCCGGAGGTCTGAGGTCAGTGTCAGTGTGTCGGCATTAGGCGCGCCGCCGGGGCTGGCCCCAACGCGACGGGAAGCTATTGCGAATGGCGTTTGCAATACCGCTGACCCAGTGGGCTGGCATTGCTCATCGCACTTGGTAATTGGACGGGACAGTACGCGAATGCGACCGGGCTGGTGGTTCGTTCTTCAGGGGTCGATAGCCTGCTTATGGCCCATAAGTTTGAAGGGAAATCTCACTGCGCCACTGTCTTTGGGGGCTCCGCACTCGATTCTGAAGTGTGTTCGCGAGTAACCTTGGGTATATATATATTGAGGACTGCGCCGCTGTGATTTGGATGGTAGTCAAACCCCTGCTTGTGATTATGTGGTGTGCCAAACTCAACAACGCCGTTTCGTGACCCCGAATTGCGTAGGCACCAGCGAAGACTCAAGGTCAAGTTGAGAACTCTCACCGCCGGTCGCATCCTCTCAAGAGTGGCTCGATGACATCAGCTAGAACGGTTTCGGTAACTTCCCAAGACTAGGGAGACCAAAAACTGTGAACAAAGAGTGAGTTGTCAAAGATCGCTGCAAACGTCAGGAGCCCTTGCGCAAGGAGCAACTCTCCGCAGCCACAGAGAATCTACGCGGAGCGGTGATAGTTGCCGCGGGCCGCTCGATCTGTTGACCTCGCAACTGCCGTACTCGGGACTGACTGCAATTGGGATGATAGCGTTGCGTTCGAGTCGTGAGTCCAAGGGCTTGCTCGATTCAAAGCGAACTGCATGTGCCACGAGTGCCGAGTACAGCACTAGCTGCGCGATTGCAATGATGGCGCCGTGTGCGAGTCGTGGGGACGAAGGGCTTACTTGATTGACAGCGAACTGCATGTGCCTGAACGAGAAGATCTTGAAAAGCATCAAATCACAGTGCGAAGATGAATTCTGCACTCCGCGGACGGAGAGGGGCGAACCTATGGCGAATCATAGACGGTGTCAATGTGATGTGATTTGAAGCGCGCTTCCACAAGCGAACATTTACAACTCCGAGTCCAGTACATGATACTTCTACTATCATCGTCATATCTTCCCATAAAGGTGACTGGAAATGGGTTTACTGGGCGGCGAAGTATCGGCTGTGCTGACCACCATCGAATCTACGCCCGTCGGGCAGTAAGCACAGTCATGAAGGCCGCAATGGCATATGTGACTGTGATAGGATCGACTCTAGATATTTATGTAGTTCTGATTTGCTCCGCCTCTTCCAGACGCAACGATCTTACTCACTCTGGACCGGAGAGTCAGAATTAGGCAAGACTGACCACGATGCCCGATTCCTGTGATGCAGCCGTCTGCTATCTAGAGCCAATATGTGTAGATGTGGTTGATTGATTGCTGTGCATTGGATGTAGTGAGTGGAGTCGCTTGTGACAAGGGATGTTCCTTCGTCATGGCGCATTGAATCCAGTGTCCAGACTATCGACCTCTTTCGAACTTACGCCCCGTCGAGGCGTGCCGCACTCTTGCAGGTTGATGTAACTTCCTGTGTAATCTGCAAGACTAGCGATTAGGGAACGGGGCCGAGAAAGGGTATGATCAGACAGAACGCATGCGGTCGTCTTCGCGGCCTGGAGAAGGGTGTGTAGTTATAGTCCATGCTTACCCCGATCTGAGACAGTCAATCCCTTTGTTCTCCTGCATTGATCGGTCTCAAAGCTTCTCCACATATCTGACACGCTTGACATCTTTGCGAAAAGATGAAGTGCTTCCAACGTGCCGGGCCACGACCCATGATTGCCAACGATAATAAGCACTGGGACGAAAACAGTGAGCGACGTGCTTACAATGATCGCATCAGTCATATGCGGAAGATCGAGTACCCAATGCTTGAAGGCATGCTCAGACACAATACATCTTGCGCATGTCACTGACGGCACCTAGATCTGACGTACCTCGATCATGGCGGCACGACGCTCGCACCCAAGTCTTTACTCAAGTCCTTCTGCGAAGAGATGCAAAGCACTCTCCTCGCCAATCCTCACTCTGATTCATCCAATCCGAGTGTGACTGCCGTCATGGTAGAGCAAACCCGGCTTGCTGTCTTGAAGATGTTCAACGCCGACCCCGTTCACTTTGATGTCGTCTTCACCGCTAATGCCACCGGTGCCATCAAATTGGTGACAGAAGGGTTCTCTGGATACGAGAAAGGATTCGATTACTGTTATCATCGTAACAGCCATACAAGTCTGGTTGGTGTCCGAGAGCTGGCCAATCGTAGCCACTGTTTCGCATCCAATGAGGAGACAGAATACTGGCTCGCGGGAGCGAACGAATTTGCCTTCAAAGGTCCTCTTGCGGAGAGACCATTGTTGTTTGCTTATCCAGCGCAGTCGTAGGTGGCCTTGCACTTGATGGAAGAAGAGTTGACACTGACGTTATCATCCGCAGGAACATGAACGGCGAGCGACTTCCGCTGGATTGGACAGGCAAGCTACGCTTGTCGTTGCATCATCCGAACTCTTACTCTCTGCTTGACGTAGCAGCCCTGGTATCCACGACCCCAATTGACTTGAGCAACCATCTCTTCGCCCCCGACTTCATCTCCTTATCCTTCTACAAGATCTTTGGGTTCCCGGATCTCGGTGCTCTGATCGTCCGGAAGGCGGCTGGCCATGTGTTCGATCACCGGAAGTACTTCGGCGGTGGCACGACAGAGATGACAACTTGCCTTGGAGAATCATGGGTAGCCCGCAAGGACTCTAGCCTCCATGCACGGTTAGAGGACGGGACGATCGCTTTCCGGAATATTCTTGCTCTGAAGTGTGCTATAACGACTCATCGCGCGTTGTTCGGCGGGCTTGAACAAGTCTCGACACACGCTAGGTGGCTTGCTAGCATCCTTCACGATCGTTTGACGAGCATGATGCACTACAATGGTGCACCAGTATGCCAAGTATACAAGTCGATAGACTCTCACTATCAAGATTCGCAAAAACAAGGGCCGACGATAGCTTTCAACATACAGAGAAGCAATGGCGCATACATCGGCCCGTGGCACGTTGGATCGTTCTTCAGGGCGAGTAGGATCCACGTTCGCACGGGCAACGTGTGCAATCCTGCAGGTATGGCATGTGCGCTGGGTGTAGAGGCTGGATGGATACGGGGTGCGTTCGACGCAGGTCTTCGATGCAATACGGAGGCCGATGTTGTGGACGGAGTGCCTTTTGGGATAGTCAGGGTGACCCTGGGGGCCATGAGTACCTTGGAAGATGTTGAAACGCTCGTGAGCTGTCTTTCGCGGAACGTCGTAGAACAACAGGGGCTCCTCCAAGAGACTGCGCAGGTTCGTGATAAGAGCAAGGAGTGGGTAGAAGAGTCTAGAAGTCCCTCCGCTGTCTCGGAGATGACTACGACCCGGATAGACCCCTCCTCCCTAAGTCATGGGGAGCATACGACCACATTGAAGAACCCGAGGAGCTTGATTTCGTGGCTGAGGAGGAGGAAAAGGTTGTATCCGCGCTTTCATGGGAGAAGGCACATTGATTGAAAGGTAGTCGGTGAAGAGCATATGTTTTCGGTGGTCTTTCGCGCCTGATCCTAGCTCAGCTATTAAATAACGACGTCATGATATTCCCTTCGCACTGGTCTCCTACCTAGGTACTCGTCCCTTTGTTGATCTCCACATCATCCATATAAATTCGGGCAATTTGTCGTGATTGGTTCGGCGTGGGCCTTTTGATGAAATTGGAATGGACAGCAACGATCGCGGAGAGCCGCCGTATCCTGCCCATGTGGCACGTGATTGCGACAAGTAAGCTAGTCCATAAACAGCTTAGCGTGGATTTTCCATCCAACCAGCCTCCCCAGGCGGGCTGAATGCACCCGCATGCGCGAACGCGATACACAACCGGCAGATGCATGGAGATTTCAGTGTACATGTGGTAAGCAAAAGACATGTGCTTCTCAGATTAGCTCGTGAACAGTGGATTTGTCGTGTGGCTGCTCTACCGGCCAAGCCCGCGCGAGCTGCAGATGTCTGGTGGTTTGACGCCACAATACTGAATGAATGCAGGTAGTGTCTTGGCCTGACAGACATGGTAGTCAGGTGCGGCTCGTTTCGCCGTCACTTTGAGACTCTCAGTCCCGAAAAGCTTGCCTTTCTAGAGTAGGTAGTGGACAGCTCGAATCGCAAGGGCAAGCGCTGCAAGCTCCCTGAACCTCACTGTCAATGAGCGCCCAGCTGTCAGATCTTCTACTGAAGTCACGATCAAAAGGTGGGGAACCATAGATTGTCTAAGGTGAGTGTGCCGATTCGAACTTGATTGGCCCCATGCCGCTGTGTAGGTATGCACCTGGGCAATCACTCGCTACATATTGAGCGCTAGTCCCGAACTACAGCAACCACTACGAATGTTGCACTCAATATGCGAGGGTTAAAGCCCCGCACTTCGATCGAGATAGCGGCTTTTCCCATTGCCGATTACGATTATCCCTGGCTGAGCTGCGAACTCCTTGCCTTGCACCAACACTTGGCCAGAGCGGAAGCGGCTCTGCGATTGACGGGCAATTGGCGAATCGATTCCGAAGGCATAGTGTCGCGTGTTTTCAACGGCTGTAGCGACAGAATCGGTTGCCATCAGTGGCAGTGTGGTCATATACACATGCGCGTTTCTGAATACGGTTCCTAGGCCTACTGGAAGCCGTCAGGGTCAAGATTGTGGCTTGTCAGTACGTTCCTAAGATTTGGTGTTTAACGTAGCAGTAATCTAAAGTATGCGTCGAGGGCCAAGCGAGAATTTTCAAAGGCCTTCTTCCACGTAGCTATCGATGGTGCCGGCAGTGGCAGGCCGTGAGGCTCTGTGGTAGCCCACAGAGCACGCACAACTTCAGAGGCAAGGCTGGCTGTCAGCAGATTGACAAGGATAAGACAGAATTCATCTACCACTCTGTCATGCCGCATCTCGCCAACCGTGTGTGGAACCCTGACGGTTATGTGTGTTTGTGCAGTTACCGAAAGGGTTGCGCCCTGCCAGCCCGCATCCGCCATGCAGATGTTGAGAGCCGGAGGCGTCCATAGTGATCCAGCCATAGACATGACCGCGTACTCAGGCAATCTGGTATAAGCGCAGCTGCCCTTCCAGATCCTGTCGCACTCCCGAAGGGAGTCTATTCACCTCAGACCTTTTCTTCGTCATGAATTGTGCTCGCCAGTGCCACGTCTTCCACGTGTGGAGCCGCTCGCAATTCACTGGAACGATCCAGTCGTCAGCCTGTATATGCACTCAAAGGCGCCTCGAGACCCAAGCGTCAACCATGGGGTTCCTAGCACTCGCTTTACCCGCTATACCTGCGAATACAGCAACTGGCTCATGCGTGACGAGGAGGTCTGCCTCGCGCTCAGCCATGACCATCGGTTGCAGTACAGCGGACGATCCAGGATAGGGGTGACGTGGATGAGACATGGTAAGAGCATTCTAGATCCAAACTTGCATTCGTTCGTAGGTTTGCCTGCTGCTGGTGGAGGTGCGAGAGATCCTAGGCGGGTATCTTCTTGCTGACGCGTGTCATCAGTGGCCCGTTAGCAGGCTCAGTCGACACAGCGCCGCGGTACTGTGGCCGGCTTTCCATCGCTGACACGGGCACGGCAGGACTGGAACCATAGAGTCAGGAGTATCTTCAAGTCGATGCACGCGGTCAGATTGTCTTCTTCATCCGTTCGAAGAGTGTCGAACCTTACGCAGTCTTCACTTTCGAAATACCGCCCGTCCACCCCAACCCGCCTTGGGCTGACCTGGTTGATGCTCTTTTCCGCGCGCACCTGCACAGCCACGTCAATGCTAGTGCACTCGTTGGTACTGGACGAAAAGTGAGGCAGTCGGCCAACACTGGTTCAGGTTCTTGACATCGACGTCCTAGCGAGACCAATGTCGTCAGGTGTTACTGTCAAGCTCGAGGCGTCCTCTTGGCGCTGGTCGTTGTCGTCGGGCTCGCAGTGGTGACCATCGGTGCGTCACCCTATACCTCCGAAACACATTTTTGTTGCTGCTCATTGCACACTAGACGCCCCTCTCTTGAGATCAATCTTGCTCCGCTACCTGTCTTCTTCCAGAGTTGCCAGCGTCGCCATCGCCGCCTAGAGTACCTCCGAATTCGACTGAGAGTGCAGCCTTCTTGCTCATACCTCCGAGTCGCTACACCACGACACCCAAGCCTCCAGAAGGTTTTCCTCCACGAGGAGCTTGACGAAGAGCACCCTATACACAACAACAGTGGCATGGAATGCGATATTGGACCCGACTGGCAGAAACGCTCCAGCAGTCTCGATACACAGATGAATGTGTTTGGCGCAACGGGTGGTCTGAGAGAGTCAGCAGCGAGGCAACTGATGGCGGAAGACCAAGACCAAGAGCGAACAACGCCAGGGCATCCTGGTACTATCGGTCACCTCGAAAGCTTTGCGTCAAGATCGAGTGTACCAAGTCGTGAGGCATCTCGGAACGTCGGCGGCCAGCACATAATCCAACATTGGCAGTATGGCATGCCAACGTACGACGCACGTAGCCCGGATTGGAACTACATCGACTATGCAAAATCCATGATGCCTATGCTGGCTGACAAGTATGAACGGACTCCCCCAACACAGCCAGCGATGGGATGCAATGATCAACATCCTCAGGCAAACTATTGGCCAAGCGAACCGTGGAATGTGTCAGTGCTGTCGAATTCCCGAACGCATTCCCATCATAGACGTAATGCGGTACCAACCATCAGCATCGACTCGCCAAATGGCGAGAGTGGAGTGACTGGTTCTAGAGCTGCAGGTGGGTGCACGTCATACTGCGACGCAGCAGCGACCACATCAACATTGTCAACGTACTGTATGTCAGAACATGAAGCACAAGTGGAAGATTGGTCGGCGTCGTATCTCTCTCCGGAGACGAATGATCAGGCTATTTCATCTCGACGGAGCTCAATGGGTTCGATAGCCTCCGCGCCGAGCCGACTTGCAGTGGTGCCATCTGATCACACGGCAACACCTACGGAGTATTGTGGCTGGCAGTCACCCAGTACGTCTCCCAAGTAAGTCAGTGTCTTACGCAAGTCAAGAGAAAACGCTGAACGTTGTACAGCATCATGGACCCACACGAAGTCCAGCAACCCCGATACGACGTGACTATGCCTTCGCCATCCACGGGTAAGAGCCGCGAGACTTCAGCACAACATGAAGTCCGGCTGTGCTGCTCTCAGCGTGGCTGTCGTGCCACATTCCAAGGGTCCTACGCGAAGGGCAGTCTTGCACGTCACCGGCGACTGAAGCATGGTAACCATCAAGATCGAGACGGGAGGGAATACGGCTGTGAAGAGCCTGGATGTTCGAAGAGCTACAAGCGTCAAGACGCACGCTTGAAGCATTATCGCAAGGTCCATCGCCACCTCGCTCCTGGCCCGGCATTATCGCGCACCAAGTACCGATCCGTGTGATTGTGCTGTGGCATGTACACCAAGTTCTTCATCGCTACGCAACAGTCGCAAAATATCAAACCTCATATCAGATCACTCCTTGATATCCCAATGCCTTCGATGGGACTTTGCTTTGTCACACCCAAATCACAATCTTTAATCTTCTCTTTATTGTCTTCGTGTTGCAACGACACGTTGCGTATAAGTTCGTCGTTCGAGAAATTCATTGTGCTCTCAGTCCATCAGGACCATGAGTACAAGAAAAAATATTCTAGGCGTCTGGCGTAATGGGTGCATACGTTCGATCGAGGCGGAGGAACGCGGAGCGTCGAGAAAGAAAAGCAAGAGGACTTCTTGTTGACGAAGCCATTTCCTTCAGCGGAATGGCGGTTGTTGGCATCTTTGTGTCGTTGACATCGCGAGGGTCGTGAATGGCTCGTTGCCTATGGGTCATCGTCTGGTTCATCGTACGCGTCATGGAACGGCGATGGCGGTCGAACAGGATACGCGTGCGTAGGGACGAGGTCCATCGTGGCGTCGTTGGGGCTACCTAGGTATGCTAGGGACGAAGGTGTCGGCGAGAGGAGGTTAGCAGTCAAGACATCGCCAGGTCGGAGCGTCAGCGAGGCTCGCCTGCCCGCGGCGGCTTAATTTTAGTGGACCAGCAACACGCACCACGGCACCTCAGAGCACGCTCATCGACTCATCGACTCAATCGAAAGGAGGGCTTGCCATCTGAGCAGCGCTCAAGCCTGCCACCCGCCTACTTTTGGTCTTTTGCCTCATTCTGGTGTCACAGACGAATGGTACCCTGCAGACGATCTGCAGTAACATGCCAGTGCTTGGCCGCTGAGAACCCCGGGAAGGCCCGTGAACACCGTACATGACACGACCGGGCTGTACAAGTTGTCGCAGTATGATAGGATGAGGATGTTTAGAGTTCTATACAATGAACTTTCCAAGATCTGTGGTGGTTGGACGGCGAAAGGGAAGGCGCGATGAAGCTTCGAAAGGAAGAACGATAGGGGTCCACGAGCGCCTGTGGCAACTGTGCTACGCAAGCCACGACCCCTAAAATCTCA